TTAAAGTAAAAAAGATAAATTCCAAACTTAGGTTGATTTGAAGTCAATATGATCCTTCCACATTGTGGTCTACTGTGAATAGTGGCTGTAATAAAAATGGGAGTCGCAAGATATCTTTGTTGATATTATGTTCTTTTCTTGTTGCGATATATACCCCAGTAATGGAATTGCTGGATCATATGGTAGTTCTATTTTCAGTTTTGTGAGTTAACCACCCACACTTTTTTCCATAGTGGGCTGTAACTAATTTACATTCCCAACAGTTATGAGGGTTCCCCTTTCTGCCACATCTTCCCAGCATCTGTATTGCCGTTTGGTTTTTTTTTGATAGAAAGCTATTTTAACTGGGGTGCAGAGTGATACTCACTGTTTTTTGATTGCATTTCTCTGATGATATGAGTGATGTTGAACATTTTTTCATACACTGTTGGCCATCTTTGTGTGTCTTCTTTGAGGAATGCGGAATCTAGATCTTTTGGCCTGATTTTTAATCAGATTGATTATTTATTGCTAGTGAGTTGTTTGAACTCCTTATATATTCTGGTTATTAATCCCTATCAGATGGGGAGTTTGCAAATATTTTCTTCCATTCTGGTGGGTTTTCTCTTCATTGTTTTTTTTTTTTTTTTTTTTGAGACAGAGTCTCCTTTGTTGCCAGGCTAGAGTGAGTGCCGTGGCGTCACTAGCTCACAGCAACCTCAAACTCCTGGGCTCAGTGATCCTCTGCCTCAGCCTCCCGAGTAGCTGGGACTACAGGCACGTGCCACCATGCCCGGCTAAGATTTATATATATATATTAGTTGGCCAATTAATTTCTTTCTATTTTTATAGTAGAGACGGGGTCGTCGTCAGGCTGGTTTTGAACTCCTGACCTTGAGCAATCCGCCCGCCTCGGCCTCCCAGAGTGCTAGGATTACAAGCGTGAGCCACCGCGCCCGGCCTTCATTTTGTTGATTGTTTCCTTTGCTGTGCAAAAGCTGTTTAGCTTCATGGGATCCCATTTGCCTATTTTTGCTTTGGTTGCCTGTGCTTTTAGGCTCTTACTTAAAAAAATCTTTGCCCAGACCAATGTCCTAGAGTGTTTCTCCAGTGTTTTCTTCTAGTAGTTTCAGAGTTTTGGTTCTTGGACACAGGGTTTTTTTAATGCAGTTGCCAACTGGTGACTCAGGGATCCAGACTCTGCTATCTCATCTCCAGTGTGTGACCTCCTTGCTCACAATGGAGGGAGGAGAAAGACACAGGTGGTCACTCAGGGGGATAATGACCAGGCCTGTAAGTGGCATGCTTCACTTCCATTTATATTCTATTGGCAGAACCCAGTCAAATTGTCCTAATTTAACTGCCAAAAAAAAGGGCTGATCTTCTTGTGTGCAAGAGAAGAAAAAAAGGATCTTATTTTACTCTTAGCCCAGGCCCAGATGCAAAGCATCTCACCACTCCCGCTGCTGACTTTGAAGTCTCACGGTACATTTAGAGAGAGCCATCGGTGCAAGTAAAATGTAAATGTTCAATGATTAAGACCTGAAACCAGGGAGGTCAGTCTAAACAACCCGTCCCAGATACCAAGCCGTGTGTCCCCACCCTCTCAGGAATGAAGACAGACGCGTGCGTAGGCAGTGGGGGACAGCTTGCTCCAGATCATCACACAGCCTTCTTCTAGAGCGTTAGGGCCGGCAAGGGGTCTTCAAAACCACTTCATTCTACTCCCTCATTTCACCAATGAAAAGAAGCTATGAATCAAAGTTTGTGCGACTTTCCTATGTTCACACAGTGAAAAAGCAGCAGCGTGCCAGGACTAAAGCCCACACCTATGGACCCTTGGACTCCTGACTCCTCCAGTCTCAGATCTGTTTGCGAAGAGCGTTTGCGTCTTATGCATCTTTCCAGTATATTCCTTTCTCTGCACCAGCCAGAGAGGCAGGCCTAGAACACAGGCCAGCATGCACTGGTGACGTGGGTGAATATTTGTAAAATAGCTGAATGTGGCTCGGACACGCAGTAAAACTTCCGAAAACTCATCAAGTTCAAATTCAGAGTCCCTTCGAGATGCATGAGTTTAAGGAGACATAGTGGAAGGGTCATTTGTGGAAAAGACGCATCCAGTGGAAAAGCAGACTAGGCCTCCTCGCACTCTGCATTCTGCCCGCAGGTCAGCCGAGACCGACAGACTCGAGTCAGGCCTGTTTCAAGCAGGTCCCAGCCTCCGTCACCAGGAAGCAGTTACCATTTGTCAACTGTTGATTACCTGTGCCTTACAGGCACTTAGTGCTCATCTGATGCGCTGGGCAATCCCACCAGGTAATAATCATTATCCTCGTTTGACAAATACAGAGGAAAAGGGAAAGCTGGACCAGCTGGGACAGAACTTCATGCAAGCCTGGATTGGTCAAGCGCGCCACTTAGGTGCACGGGATCTTCGGCAGGCTCCACTCACCC